AGGATTGTTGCCTTTCAGGTCTCCCCTATCCAAGACCTCCGCAGGCTCCTCCAAGAAGCAGGTGTCCACGTGGGACTGAATATACAAGAAATGTATTAGAGGAAATGTCTGCAAGTGAAAATGGGGAAGGAGATGTATGTGTGTGAAAAAGCTTTCCAGGCCTGAGTCATGCTGTGGAGAGAGAAAGGAAGGAAAGTTGGGTCAGAAACATCTTTAGGTACAGTTCAATCCTGGGAAAGTTTTTACAAGGCCGGGGGGAAAACTTAAACTGAAAATGCCTGTCCGAGGAGTCCGGCATCTCCCAGGAATGTGTCTGCTTTACTCTCCCTGATGCCTGGGGACAGGCTAGAGGAAGTATGGTTTTGTCAAGTGGTGGTAGACCCAGAGGTACAGCAGCTGGGACTGCTGTCATGGATACTCCTTGCAGTAGGAGACTGGAAAGGTGACTTTACTTGGCTGCCACATTCTATTCCTTTCACTGCTCCACACACGGTCAGGAAACTCTTCTCTGTTTCTATGGGCCACTCCTCCTATGGAGAAACTCAGAAGGAGGTTGGTGGGACAAACTATAGCCCCCAAGCTGCAGGTGTCTCAGGGTCATAATTGGAACCCATTCCCTCCTTATTCCAGATACCCATACTAAATTACCCTTAAGCCTCAACTCTCACCCTGGCAATTCTTGGTGGCTTAACTGGTAATGTGACTCAAACCTTCATTCCTGAGGAGTCTGCATTCTTGGCAGTCAAACCTTTCTCAGGCCAGAGTTGTGGCAGCTGTCCATCCGCAGTTACAGTGGGGTTTGACATGGGCACCAGAATGGATCACCTAGGTTCCAAATTCCTCCCTGCCCCTATAAAGTACTGAAGTATCCCTACTTTGAATTGAAGTCAATTACTGCTGCCAGTCTGGCGGTACCTTTCTTGTCTGGTGGCCCCTTGATGTAAGGAGTCTAAAATGTTCTGGTCCCTTGATGTAAGGAGTCTAAAATGCTCTGTAGTATGTATTTAAATAGAATCCTATTGTTTCCCCTGACAAAAGTGCACTCCCATTGGAGACCAAATCCTGTAACCCTGCAGAATCTAAATTGGGGAAACTAGAAGCACAGAACCACCCCCTCATCCCACCATGGGTCTTTGGGAATCATGATGTATTAGTCAGAGCTCTCAGAGAAACAGAACCATACAGAGAGAGTTTTATTTTAAGGAATTGACTCATGCAACTGTGGAGACATGGTGAGTACAAAATGTGATGAGGTAGGCTGACAGGATGGAGACCCAGAGAAGAATTGCTATTTGAGTCCAAAGGCAGTCTGCTGCAGAATTCCCTTTTGCTTGGGAAAGGTCAGTCTTTGTTTGTTCTTAAGGCCTTCAACTGATTGGATGAGGTGTACCCACATTATGGAGGGTAATCTACTTTACTCAAAGTCTGTGGATTTAAATGTAATGTCATCTAAAAAAGCACCTTCACAGGCACACCCACAATAATGTTTGACAAAATATCTGGGCACCACAGCCCAGCCAAGGTGACACATAAAATTAATCACTGAAGACAGCAGTTGGGCTAGTCCTGTTTCTGAGTTCTTGGACCCATATATTCTTCCTATTGGAGATACAATATCACCTCAAGGTCTCTAAATTAATGCATATGCTGTATCCTGAAGATGGGAGCATTTTTTTTTTTTTCAGAGTGTTGCCTTTGAGCTTGTGCTTCAGCTGTGTTTTAGAAGGCTATTGTAGCATTCTATAAGGCCAACTTCCTCGAGATAATGCAGTATGTAATATAACCGGTGGATCATATGGCCATGGGCCCACTACCACACTTCTTGTCTTTAAGATGTGATATAAAATTTTCACTTTTTCATGCCCATTCCACATATGAATTCACATGTCTCTACCCTAGCCCCACTTATCTTTGCTCCTTCTATGCTTTTTCTTTTAGGTCTCAACCAGATGCCCAGGACAATTGTCACTGACTGACCAGTAATCTCACCTTGGGTCATTTTTCTCCACATTAAATGGATGACCAAGTGTACCAATCATAGATTGACCCATTAGATATATTGCACCTACCCACTCTTTTCCAAAGTAGTCCCTACATGTGGCGAGAATGCAGTCACTATCCATTTCTAGCTTAAGTCCACACACTGAGCTAACCCATCAGTAAATCAAGCTCTGTCCTTCTCTTTGTTCTCTTTCAATGGGTTGTATAGAATTCCTCAATCCCATGTAGTCATAAACGTGAGATATGGGGAGGTGTTATTACAACTGATGTGAATGACATGGAGTCTGGGCTACCTGCTTACGCAACTTACTTATGTTTTCTTTCCCTGCTCAGGCTTGATCTCAAGCATACAAAACCCTGGGCTTCATCTGGCATTATGACTTGGCCTGTCCAACAGACCCCAACTTGCATCGGGCTGTTCCAGATATATGGATATATGGTAACCCATGGTCCAAGTATTCTCTCTTTAGTGCTTAGTGACATGTCAGAAGCTCTTCAATAAAAGACATATACTTCTCTGCTTTAGATGGCAGTCTTACTCCTGAATGATGTAAGGCACCCTATAATCCTTCCACTGGATTCTGCCGTAAGAGCCATCTTCCAACTTTTCCCACCCAATATCATAAAGCCTACCTTATTATAGGGGCCAAGTGACAGAGTAACTTGCAGTCTGGCACTGTTGCAGAACTCTTTCCTGCTCCAGGCCTGATCCAAAGCTAGCTAACTCCTGCAACACCAGAATTACAAAACACAGCAATGGTCCTAGGTGTAGAATGTGTTGCCTCCAGAACCCCAAATGACCTACCAGACACTATGCTTCCTTATTTGTAGCAGAGGATAAAAGAAGCAATCATTTTTTTCTTTTATTTTGAGGAAAGATCTTGGCATATACCTGATTATAAAATCTTTTTTATTATTATTATTAAGTTCAATTAGCCAACATATAGTACATCATTAGTTTTGATTATAAAACCCTCATGGAAAAAAAGTTTCCTTGATATTTGTAGGATTTATCTCCTACCTCTAGAGAGCGTGTGTCTTACCAGTGCCTCCAGAATACTAGCCACCTTTTGCTTATTCTCCAACCAGCATGAAGTCCTAAATGTTATGAATCAGTGTAGTGTTCTTAGGGATAACTAGTTGGTCCAATTTCTTTGGAGTTTATTATGACACAGGGCAAGATAATTAACTTAGTCCTGAGAACAAATTTTAAATTGAATATTCTTGTCCTTTCCAGTGAATGCAAACTCTTTCTGATCTTCCAAACTGATTGGATTTGAAAAAATCTACTTATTTGATTAGCGGCTCAAGAGCATGTATGAGGTTTTATTAATCTACTCTAGCAATGATGCATACAACATAGTGGTTGTGACTGGGACCTGTGTAAGCCTGTGATAGTCTACAGATATTTTTCAGAATCTACCTGGTTTCTGCAGGGGTCAGATTGGTGAACTAAACAGAGATATGATAATGACTACCACCCCTACAATCCTTTAGCTCTTTAATCATCATCATCTCCGTTATCCCCTAGCCCTTAATAAAAGACTCTTGTGATTTAAAATTTTGGCTATTGAGGAAGAGGTGACAGAGGTTTCCACCTGGCCTTGCCTGCTATAAACACTTTTACTCCACAGACCAGCCCTAAATGGGGATTATTTCAACTGCTAACTGTATCAATTCCAATTATACACTTGGGATCTGGTGAAATTACCACTAGATGGGGTCTGTGGGGCCAGTAGTTCCATTTTAAAGCAAACTTTATCCTGGGCTCCATTTATTACCTGGCACCTGTAATTGCCTACTGTAACAGGGAGACTTGATAGCAATTTAGGTCCCTGTGTGTATCACTGTCAACTCAGACCCTGTGCTCAACGATCCTAGAAATGTGTGGGTATTCTGCTTTTCCCAGTGTACTCATCAGAATAAATGGCCACAGGTCCTCCTGGGGAAGGACCAGGGTAATCATTACAGTGTGTACCTGTCTGAGTAGAGAGAATCCTTCCCTCCTAACACCAGGCCACTTCTTCAATGAGTAATTTCTGGATTTGAAAATTGGTTCAAGTTTGAGAATTGAGCAAGCAAATATGACTTCGTGTTGGGACAGCTGCCTTCATTCTCCTATTTCTTCATTCTGAAAACTTTTTCTGGTTGTGAAAGTTAAGCAACATCCTGACTACCTGTCTATTTGCCTCTTGGGATGTTATTGTCGATGAGCTATCTCTAAACACCCTGCTGACCAATCCTTTTCGGCTGCTCCTCCAACCTGAAATTATATAATAATCTGGCCTCTTGATTTGTAACAGGTAAGTTCTACCATCTGACCTCTATTACTTCATGGCACATTGTCATCGGGGATATTAAAGGGCCAGCTCTGTGACTGCAGACAAGGGCTGCTCCTGAACTTTTTCTAACCTCTCACCAGCACATTCCTGAGACCTCAGAAAATGGTCTGTTTGGGGGACCTCACATAAAACATAACCTGGTGACTCTTTTGGCGTCACATAATATATCCATTCCAGCATGCCACTTTACTTGGTCTCCATATTCCTTCCTCTACTGTCAGTCTAGGCAGCTTGAGCATTTCCACTTTGCTCAGCATTGGTCACAGCCCCCTTTTAGGCCTCTCTGAGTCACTGTAGTTATCAGTAATGCATCTCATTCCCCAAGGTCCTCGTTAAGGTGTTAAATCCCTGTATCTTTTAGAATGCTTGCCAATAGTGAAATATTACAAATATTTCAAGTCAGTAAAATATTGCCTATCCAGTGGTATCTACTAGTCCCCTTGATCAAGTTCCCTTAAAATCCAATCCTAGGGCGCCTGGGTGGCTCAGTTGGTTAAGCGACTGCCTTCGTCTCAGGTCATGATCCTGGAGTCCCGGGATCGAGTCCCATATCGGGCTCCTTGCTCAGCAGGGGGTCTGCTTCTCCCTCTGACCCTCCCCCCTCTCATGTGCTCTCTCATTCTCTCTCTCAAATAAATAAATAAAATCTTTAAAAAAAAAAAATCCAATCCTAAAGACAGTCTTTGGCTCATGTTACTGGTATGTAAGCGATTGTTACGTTTCCTTGCATGAACTATTCCTTTCCTCCCTCCTTGGCCTGGCATTTCCCCAGCCCAGTAATCCTGTGATTGAACCCTGTATTTGGCTTGGTAGCTGGGAGATGAGTTCAGGGTGGCGGGGTGTCCATGAGAGAAGCCCCTGAGTCCTCACAGGAGATGGGCCTCTTCAGCATCTTCCAGCAAGGCAGCTCACTCTTGCTAAGGAAAAGTAGGCAAAGTGTGACCTTGGAGGATTTGGAGCAGGAAGATGTGCAGAGGTAACGCTTTGGGAGGAGCCAATTCAGAAATCCTCACCTCAAGCATGTTCCAGGGCTCCAACTGGAGCCCTGATTTTAGCTTGGCGTACCCACCCACTCAGCCGGGCAGTGAAGCGTGTCTGGAACTCTGAAGCTTCAAATATGACACCTTCCGTTGGTCGCTTAGCTCTGTCTGCTCTTTCACTACAGAGTAAGAGGCTCAGAGAGCTACCATAGAGCCCTGTGGCTCTTCACACGTCATCTTTAAGCCCTGAATTTCACATTAGCCTTTTGCGAGGCAGTAATTCCACTTTGCAGTAATAAGCTCCGATGCCTTCTAAGCATTGTTGCTCCAATATTTTTCAAATGCCTGATTTATTAAATCTATAAAAGAATTTCTCTCTCCAGGGGTATTTTCCCAGGTCACTTCTGTGAAATCATCAGTGCTTGAAGTGGATCACGTGGGTGCAACTCTCTGTGCCCTGCATTCTTCAGAATAGCATCCTCCTTGACTGACAGTGAGTGACTTGGTCCCAGACCCCATTTTACTGGTCACTTCCTGGCACTACTTGCATTAGGTTGGGTCCTCTGAGAAGCAGATATTAGACAGGTATAGACATGCAAGTCATTTACTGAAGAAAATCACCTGAGGGAAAATGGGGAGTATGAAGAGGTTGGGAGGGTGCTCAGATCTTGACACAGGTCTGATCCTCATGGAGGAGAGGTGGAAGGAAGTAAATTTGTGTAGGGAAAGTCTTAGACTACAGTGCTGTTCTTTTTTTTTTTTTTTTTTAAGATTTTATTTATTTATTTGACAGAGAGAGACACAGCGAGAGAGGGAACACAAGCAGGGGGAGTGGGAGACGGAGAAGCAGGCTTCCCGCTGAGCAGGGAGCCTGATGCGGGGCTCGATCCCAGGACCCTGGGACCATGACCTGATCCGAAGGCAGACGCTTAACGACTGAGCCACCCAGGCGCCCCTACAGTGCAGTTCTAACAGTGCTTCGGCAAGGCAGCCAAACTTGCACATCGGAGAAGTGTGTGTCTCCCAGCACAGGCCTGCCTGAGTATCTCTGCCATTCGCAATCATTGACTTCAGCACAAAAGCAGTACTGGATTTCGGAGTGCAGCAGCTGGGACCAGCAGTCAGTTTTGCTCCCCGCATTCAGAGCTATGGGAGGAGACTTTTCTTGACCGCTAGAGTTCAGAATGCTTTTCTCCCCTTTGGAATGAAGGTGAAACTTTGGGAAGCCACCTGTTGAAAATGGCAAGAACTCTGTCAGCTTACCTTCCTGAATGAGTGCGACCCATTATCATTATGTGAGAAAGAAACTTCTAGTGTATGTGAGCAATACACATTTTGTAGTCTATTTATAATGGAAGATAACTCATTGGTATTTGTATTTACCTTCCGTCTAGGCGCTTTTGCTGACATCTAACAAGCTCTGACCCATATTTTCACTGCTCCCAATGTTGCTCACTTACTAATCCCTATGTGTTTTTTTCTGATCTTATAAGCACTGACCTATCTTTACCCAGAGATTGTCTTTTGCCCCATGAGGAATCATATCTTTGAGATGGAAATTATTTAAAATTCTATTCTAAGAGTGCCTGGGTGGCTGAATCAGTTAAGTCGCCGACTCTTGATTTTGGTTCAGGTCATGATCTCAGGATCCTGGGATCGAGCCCCACATTGGACTCCGCACCACGTGCTGAGTCTACTTGAGAATCTCTCTCCCTCTGCCCCTCCCCACACTTGCTCTCTCTCTCTCTTTCAAATAAATAAATATATCTTTGAAAAATATTTCTAATTCTGCCCCGTGATTTGTCTCCTACCTTGATTGTTTATTAGTTTTTTTTTTTTTTTTTTCTTTCTCCTGCTCTACTTCAACATCTGGTATTTACGTATTTCTGAATCCTATGCATTTGCTTGGTTCTTCTTATTTTTTTTTTAAGATTTTGTTTATTTGTCAGAAAGAGAGAGAAAGAGCACGCATAAGCAGGGGTAACGGAAGGCAGAGGGAGAAGCAGACTCCTCTCTGAGCAGGGAGGCTGATGCAGGACTCCATCCCAGGACCCTGGGACCACAACCTGAGGCCAAAGGCAGACACTTAACTGACTGAGCCACCCACGTGTCCCTGTATTTGCCTGGTTCTTGAAACATTTTCACGCTTCTGATTAATTGAAACTGTCTATATATTCCCTGAGTTTTGCATGTTGGCTGTTACAGTTTTTTCTTGCCTAAATTAGGGAATAATGTTCTCCTCTTGTTCCTTACTTCATGTCTTCTCTGAAATACTGTGTCAGTTTCATATCTGGACATTTTGAGTCTTCTATTTCTCTCTGCTGTCTTATTTTATGACCTCTTGGTTTTGGGCCATCTTCCATATACCTGGTCCATGGTTTAAAGAAGATTCCTATATTGTTTTCTGTTCCTGGTTCAGATTTCCAACTGTTTGTAAGTCTATCATTATATAGGAGTCCACTTTAACAGAGCTGTTTTTCTCTCTGCAGTACCCTCTGATAAATTTCTCCATTACCAGGCTATCTGTCCTTTAATGAATAGTACAAAGCAGAAAATTTCCAAAGTTCCTAGTGATATCTTTAATTCTTGAGTTATTATTTTATTATGATTTTGTTTAATTGGCCTTATATAACCTCTTTAAATATTTTTGCTACACGTTGCTAATTGGCTAATTTTATTACACTGAACTTTTTGGGAACTAACATTTTTGCAATTAGTATAAAAGGTTTTTAATTCTACATAGTGTAAAAATATTTAATGTTCTAATGTGCATTTTTTAAAACTCCCAATATGCAGGCAAGAATTATTCTGACTGATTGTCTAAATATCCCAGATTGCTCACTTTTATTTTAACTTCATATGGTATGGAACTAATTAGTATAAAAATACGGCTTATTAGCGTAGCACAACTATTCTAATCAAGAGGGGCATTTTTTGTTAGTCTTTCAAACCACTGTGGTCCTTACTCACCCTCTTTAAAGTTAGTGGAAATGGTTAAATGATAATTCTTAAGCAGTCTGCAAAATTCAAAATAGTATTCACTCACTCTGACTTCTAAACACCCCGATTGGTTTTTTTAAGATTTTATTTATTTATTTATTTATTTATTTATTTATTTATTTATTTATTTATTTTAAAGATTTTATTTATTTGGCAGAGAGAGATAGCAAGAGCAGGGGCAGGGCACAAGCAGGGGGAGCAGCAGGCGGAGGGAGAAGCAGGCTCCTCGCTGAGCAAGGAGCCCGATGCTGGGACTTGATCCCAGGACCCTGGACTCAACCCCAGGACCCTGGGATCATGACCTGAGCTGAAGGCAGATGCTTAGCCGACTGAGCCACCCAGGCACCCCAAAAGATTTTATTTATTTAGAGAGAGATTGTGAGCAGGGTGAGGGACAGAGGGAGAGAGAGAAAATCTCAAGCAGACTCCACTGAGCATGGAGCCTGAGGTGGGGCTGGATCCCATGACCCTGAGATCAGCACCTGAGCTGAAATCAATAGACTGTCACTTAACTGACTGAGCCACTCAGGCACCCCCAAAACCCTAGATTGTTGAGAAGTGTAGGGAATATCCTATACTTTATACTTCTTACCTTGTAAAAGTCCTAGCCTTGTCTACTAAGTAACCCAAGCTCTAATTAGAATTAAAATTAAAAAAAAGAAGAAGAAATCAATATTTATTTTGGCACAATGTATGTACTGATTTCTTTGCAACTATTCACTGGGGTTGTGACATATTGTAATGCAATGTGTGGCATAAAGACTACAGCACTAGGGTTAGCTGTTCTCCAAATGGAGTCTCCATGTCCTTGTTTGTGAGTGAGTGGTAAAAATTACAATGTAGAATAGCTTTGGAGATGGGACCAGACAACATATGTAAACACTCAGCATTGGATAGGAACATTAGTAAAGCTACCAAGTACTAAATAAATGGTAGCTGTTATGAGCACAGGGAAGAGGAAAAAGAAGACACAGGAAAAAGGAAGACAAAGGGGAAAGGGAAAAGAAGAAAGGAGGAGAAAGGCCTAAAAAGCCTCCCCATACACCTGGATATGCGCTGCTCTGTAATTCTTACAAAGATTATTATGAGCACTGTAATGAATTATTTTGAATACATCCTGAAAGATTTTTAAAAGAATTTTTAAAGATTTTAAGGAATTTTAGAAAATTGATATCAATTTCAATTTACAGAAACTTTAGATGTTAGATTTTTTTTTCTTCTTTTCTTTTTTGTCTCCTTCTCTCACCCTCTTTCTTTTTTAATTTGCCACAGACCTGGTTGTATCACTTCTTGGCTCTATAGCCTGGGGAAGATCACTTAGATTCCTTATAAAGTGATAATTAATACCTCCCTGAAAGTTAACTATCTTGAAGGATAGATGTTTTTTACAAGATTGTTTTCATTTGAATTAAACTTTCAATTGAACTTTCTTTAAATTAACTTTCTTGACTAAATTAAGCTTTAAATAATTTCATCAAACTATTGTAGACTGCTAAAGTAAATACAAGTGAAAAGATTTTAGCTCATCTATCTCTTCTTTCTCTGCTGACCTCTCTCTCCCTTTTTGTGTTTTTTTTTTCTAGTTTCCTCTCTCTTTTCTTTCTCAGATTTATATTCGAAGTTTTTTTTTTTTCAGTGTTAGTACCTGCAGTATCAGCCTTTGAGTATGTACATGTGTGTTTATAACTTGCAAATAAGTATAGCTAATGTAGAATTCAGCAGTTTATTTCTGAACCTCTTTTAATGCAACAATTTAAAAATATTTCTAAAAGGTCTTTGTTTATATTGTTTTATATGTTTGGTAAACATTTGAAAGAGAACTTTATTACTTTATTTCGGCTTAAAATATAAGAGCAGTCATTTTAAAGCATGACTAAAAATAAAATAAAAGTTAATTCTAAGAGAAACACTGAAAACAAAATGAAACAAACAAACAAACAAAAAATCCAAACCATCTTCCAAATGCCTTTCATCATACTCTGCAAGGTACTGAAATAGAGTTTTCTATTCCTGTCACATCCAGTTGCAGGATTTACCAGAAGTGGACCTTGTTCCAGTTAGATGAAGTAAGATTATACTGAAAGCTGCTGATCTGTTTTCAGAAGAATTGTTACAATCCTTGAGAGAAATTGCTAAGAGTAATAGAATTTTAGCGAAATGAATCTGTTACTAGCTGGGAAAATTGTTACGGCCACAGAGACTTAAGATGCCAAACTTGCAAATTTGATCATGGTTTATGAAATTAGGACAGAGAGGAAGAGAAATGCATTGGAAGGAAGTTTTATTATTTTTTTAGCAGAAACTTAAGCCCCTGTGAATTGCACCATCTCGTTTTTTCTCCAGATAGCTCTTAGACAATAGTTATTACTCACCCTGGCAATGAACTTCACTTGCATGTCACTTCACAGTAATATGTCCCTCTTCCCTGGCTAATCTAAATGATGAAAGGAACACAGACATTTAGGCTATTTTCTTTAGTGAAAGCTTTATCCCCAGGGATGAAATTTTAAAAATGACGTTTCATTGAAAACACTAAATTGATCAGGTGTCAATCTAGAATAACCTATTGGGATCAATCACCAACTTAAAAGTCACTATAGTCCACTTACAATTTCTTTTTTTAACTAACTACAGTTACATTTTAAGTAAGTATATTTAGGTGACATTGCTGTAGGCAAGAAAAAGACTTGAGAACCAAAGGCTGCATTTGACCATAAATGAGCAAGAGTGTCATTTACATACAAAAGCCAAAAAAAACATTATGAAAAATGATGAGAAATCCATGTTCTGCCCACAGTTTCATATTTGAAAATGCAGGGTTTTTTGTTTTGTTTTTTTTTTTTTTTTTCATATTTATAACTGTCTTAGTCCATTCAGGTTGCTATAACAAAAGGTTACAGACTGGGTAGCTTATAAATAACAGAAATTTATTTCTCACAGCCCCGGAGGCTGGAAGTCTGAGATCAGTGTGCCAGCATTGCCAAAAGAGGGCCCTCTTCTGGGTTGCAGACTTCACATTTTATCTTCATGGTAGAAGGGGCAAGGAAGCTTTGTGGGGTCTCTTTTATAATATAGGTCATTAATCCCATTTATGAGGGCTTCATCCTCATGGCCTAATCACCTCCCAAAGGTCCCATCTCCTAACACCATCACACTGGGCATTAGAATTTCAATATGTGAATTTGAAGGGACACATTCAGACCATAGCAATAACAGTGGGACCAAATGAATCACAAAATCATATAATTTTTTTGTGTATGTGAAATGTGAACTCCATCTCATCATTTCATTCAATTCTGCCTTTGCTGCTTTGACTAAAAAGGTCAATTAAGCAAAATAAACAAGAAGCAATTAGTAATTTCTTAAATTGAAGGTTTTTCAAACTGACAAAACATTGCTAAGGATCCACAGTTGATCATAAGGCCTGTGATGTTGGAAGTCTCCTCACTCCTATCCCTTTCATTGTGGTCACATGCCTCTGTGATTATATCAGCAACTGATTGCTTCCCTAGCCCTAACTGGAACATTTTTGCCACAATTATTTTAGATTAACCCAAAATACATAGTTTAGCCATATTGTACTCTGATTTTTTTCCGCTTCTTTGTCCTTTTTACTTTCCCTATGTTACTTGCTATATGATTTCCAAAATTACTTTACTACTTATTGCTGAAAATTCTAAGCATATGCATGTTAGCAAGATGATCACCAAAGTAGATATGTAATACAAGCTTTAGAGAAAAGATACAATGTTTAATGGGGCACATATTTTTGGACCAAAGAACTCATTCTAAATTTCTGAAACTGTAGTAATAGTAAATAAAAACTTTCTTGTATGTCAAGAGTCAGCAAGGTATCCCTGAAACAGCAAGCTTTGGATAAAACAGTTTTTCCATGTTACTTAATAACTTATTCTGGAAATAGAAAGTAGCTTTCTATGTGTCAATTTGCTTCTTTGTAAAATGAGAAAAATATTAACTATCTCCTTTATTGTTGTTACAATAAATATATATATAAATATATATAAATATATATAATTAAATATAATTAAATTATCTGTGTTGACCTATCACATATCCTCAAGAACCATATGCTAAAGAGATACTAGTTTGCCTGTCCAATGAATGTTAATCTGCCTTCCATGTACCAATAAAAACAGTTGTTTACTTAAGACTTGGCAAAATCCCTCTATTTGTTGTCAGGGCAGCAAAACAATCTCATGTTTTATTATTTTGGACAAGTCACTTTCCTTCAGTGGATTATCTAGAACTGCTAACTTACATCAGAGTATAAATATGGTGGTATAAGGATACAACAGGATTCTAAATACAATTATTTTACTTTCAGTCTCAGCTCAAGAGTTTAGACAATGCTGAGCAGAATAAAGTGGCTTTTATTTTTAACAACCTATGGAAGAGATTATGAAGTAGAGAGTAGGCTAGTTAAATGTGAGAAGAGTATTTTAAATGGGGAACTTTTTGCACCCTGAGTACTCCTCCACCCCATCCTTGATGTAAAGGGCTGGTTCAGGCAGGTCCTTGTCCTTTACTTCAAGTAGAAAAAAGAAGTCTTCTAAGTGACCAAGAGGAGAGCTTGATATATGTTCTTCGGGACTCACTTAAGAACCAGAACTGAGGCCACACAAATAGAAGTGAAGAAGTGATGGTTGCATAGAAGTCAGTATGCACTCAAAGATTTTATTGCAAAAAAAAAAAAAAAAAAAGTTGGAGTATACACACAAATGGGCTCAGGCGTTCAGTCATTAGAAATAACCAGAAAAGGATCAATCTATCAAAGGGACCCAACTAAAAGGGTGAAAACACCTTGGGCTAAAAAACTGGTCAAACTATAGATGCTCAAGAGATAAGCAAGGAGCGCAAATGACTAGCAATAAAATGCCTTGCACCCAGCCCATGGGAATTGCAGGCCAGATATCCTCAGGGTTAAAGAATTAAAAAAAAAAAAAAAAAATACAGGAGCAAAACTACTTCATCTCGTGAATTTTATTCTTCAGTTTATGCAGATACGGTGTTTGCAGAACCCTAAGTGAAGAGGAGTTTATCTCCAGTGTGCATTATTAGTTTGAGACCTGCCTTATTTTTGCATTCAGATTGCACAAAATATCTCTATCTCAAGATTGTAATAATGCTGACAGGCTAATTTTTTTAGATACATTTGAAATGCGGAAACTGCTAGTGATGTAACACTGTAGCAATATAAGAGAAGTAAGTACTTTTCAGTCCTTTCCTGCTTACCTTCTTTTACATACTTTGGAAAGATCAAACCATGGGATTTACAAAGGAGGAGAAGGAGCAGTAGATATCGGATAAGGAAACAAAAGAAGTAAACTCCATCTCCCTCGTTTGTAACCTACTCTATTTGCTGGTATTCCATTCTTCTGTTTATATAGTTATGGTGGTTGTAGTACTCTTTACAACGCGAGTAAAGAGAAATTTGTCTAATAAGTTGTTATCTTAACGCGAGTAAAGAGAAATATGTCTAGTAAGTTGTTACCTTATAATCTGTTTTCTCTCTCCATTTGAGTTTTACAAAGATCTATAGACAAGTTAATATAACAATGCTAATATTCCTGATGATATATTTGCTCTCACGCTTAAATAACTAACAAATAGCGTTTTAAAAAAATATTTTTTGTAAAGATTTGTTTTAAAATCTGTTTTCTGATTGACTATTTACTACCAGAAATAGTACAAGGCAAAGAGAATTAGACTCTATTCTATAATTTATTAGAGTATTGAAACATAAGAATAGAATATAGATTACTAGGTACAAAAGCTATATGCCATCTTGTCATTTTTTTTCAGTAAATGGTAATATGCTTATATTCATCCAAACATAAGCCATGTAAACAGATGTTTTTATATGTAAGAGAAAACCCTGAATTGTTGATTTGTTCTGGTATAACTGGGTTTAAACAGACACTTGAGGGTTTAAGAGGGAATGCCATGACCAACAAATCCAGACGTTCTTTGAGCTCAGCTAAATCCAACAGAAACATTCAGCTTTATGCTTTTACCCTTGAGACAGCTTGAATTCAATAGCTATTTGCAGAGTTATGCGATGGTAAGACAAAAATGAATGTACCATGTAAAACAGTGTTTCAAATAACATAATGGTTGGAAGACATTTATTCCAATTTTTATAAGGCTTTATTTCTTTCTTACAAGTTGGGTTAGCTTGTTAAAAGAATATTGCCCTCTAAAAAAATATAAACTTTTTTCTCCTTAAGGACGGCATAACATAGTTAACCTATATCGTCACATTCTTCTGAGACTAATACTGAATAAAAGAGGGTATTGTGCAGACAGTCAGCAATTCTTTCTCTGCTCAATACCCCTAAAACTCTAATTATCTGAGGTGTTGCTATAAACCCAGTATTTACAACATAAATTCTTTAGAGGGTGAGGTAATCGCACATGTCATAAGGGAAGAAAAAAGTTTCATTTTTTTCTATGAGACACTTTTTTTCCCCCATCATTGAATTTATACTTTAGAAGAAATGTGAGAGTAAATATTATGCAGTCCAATGAATGAAATCATAACAAAACCACTTTAAACAATACATCTGATAATCATAGTAACAGTTTGTCTTATTACTAGCAAAGGTAAAACTACTAATGACATTACTGCTATTTTTTTAATGCTTTGTGGGCATAGTATTTGAGAGTTTTCCACATTGACATTGCTTTTCATGGTCTTTTATATAAAATTCAAACACTGACATGCCATACTACCTGAATTTAAATCATTCTTACCTCTTCCAATTTGCTACTGTACAAGATCAGGGTTACTCGAAAATTGCTTTCATTAGGAAATTGTAGAGCAGAGTGAACCTGCCAATAAAATGTCCTTAGAAAGTTATTGCCAAGAAACTGTGTTCAGTTTTTGGTGTTTTGTTTCCAGAGTCCGTGCTTACACACACACAAAAAAACTACTTGTAATTCCTGAGCATTCTAAGAGCAAGACCCACCTTCAAGGTTCGGGAGTAGATCAGGCCTAGAAGTCTCCCTCCTGATGGCTGTGAGTCAGTGTATTGCAACATGGAACTCTGTACTTGACCACAGTGAAAGACATTTAACTCCCAAAGCTCTCAGCCTTCTCTCTATTGCTTCAGGGTACATTTCAACAAATTCTTGTTAAAATTAACAGCTACTGTAAACAAGACAGGGAGCACAATAGGAAATAATCTCTGCCCTAGTGGAGTTCACAGTCTAGTAGAGGACACATATTAAGCATGGAAACAAACAAAAACATATGCAATATGTATCTATAACAGAATATATGTGTGTTATAGGAACTTGGCTATGATGGCTTAATCAAATATAGATTTATTTCCTCACACTAAGCAGTGCTGTTTTGACAGACAGTAATTTCCAAAGATGTTCACATCAATATATTCTTTTTTTTTAATTTTTTTTAAGATTTTTTTTTTTTTAATTTATTTATTTAACAGAGATAGAGAGAGAGCGTAAGTAGGCAGAGCGGCAGACAGAGGGAGAGGGAGAAGCAGGCTCTCCACCGAGCAGGGAGCCCGATGCGGGACTCGATCCCAGGACCCTGGGAGCATGACCCGAGCCGAAGGCAGTCGTTTAACCGACTGAGCCACCCAGGCACCCCGAATATATTCTATCTTAAACGATCTTTCTACAATGGAGAGGTGGATCCTATGGTTTCTTCTCTTGAATTTGGTGAGGCTCAACTATGGCAAATCTGACACTGTGTGACTTCCATGGATATTAAATATTAAAAGGCAATACAGCTTCTGCTTCATCCTCTGGGATTCTTGATCTTCAAAAAGAACTACCGTGCTGTGCAAAAGCCAAACAGCCGCATGGACTGGCCAGGTGTAGGTGTTCCAGACGTAGCCCCAGATCCAGGTGAAGTCTCAGCCAACAGTTAGCATCAATATCTACTATCTGAGTGAGTGAGTCTTCAGATGATTCCAGCACTGTGTCTTCAAACCTGCCCAGTGGGCCCTGAATGGAGTAGGGATGAGCTGTCCCTGATAAAACAGCAGATTCATGAGTGAAATTAGAATGAATGTTGTTTGAGCCACTCAGTTTTGGGATTGTTTGAGTAGACTTTGGTACTTTGGTACCTATACATGTGGTGCTAGCAAAATTCAAATAGATGCTATGGATGTAGATCTACAGATAGAGCTATATCACTTTGAGGCACTTATCATGAGCCATTTTATTTAGATCACCATTATCATTGCTCAAGTCCCAGGACTGCTGGTTTTCCCTGTCTTCAGCTGTCAATATTTTTTCTAATGGTAGATAATTAATTATCCATTAACCTCTACCCCCATACTTCTTCTTCTTCTTTTTTTTTTTTTTAAGATTTTATTTATTTTTGACAGAGAGAGAGAGTGTACAAGCAGGGGAAGCAGCAGGCAGAGGGAGAGGAAGAAGCGGGCTCCCCGCTGAGCAGAGAGCCTGACGTGGGGCTCGATCCCAGGACCTGAGCCAAAAGCAGATGCTTAACCGTCTGAGACACCCAGGTGCCCCTTCCCCCATACTTCTAATTCTTTTTCGACCTAAATATTTAAATGCATATTACTTCTTTAAATAATAATTATAATATCCAATTACTGAGTAAAGAATTCAGTAAAGAATCCTGCTGGGCAGGATTAGAAGCAGTCGCAGTTGTACATTCCAATTTGTCTGGCCATGAATTTTTAAAGCAACGGGCACTAAAGGGATACACACGTGTGTGGGTAGGAGCTATTCTTCACATCTCATTTTCCTCTCTTTCAATGCTCTCTCTTTGCAAAGAAAAAGTATGATGCATCCCTAACTTTTTTTCATCTTATTAACCACCTGCCAGTGTGAACATCAAGTTCTATGTAAGGCACTGGTGTGAGAGGCAACAGCGTATGTATTTATTTACTCCTTTTGAAAATTTTGTGTCATTGCCATTGTGTACATCGTGACTTGTCCTTCTAAATGGTGATCACTAAAATGTTTTCTTTGAGGGCACCTGGGTGGCTCAGTCCTTAAGCCTCTGCCTTCGGCTCAGGTCATGATCCCGCGGTCCTGGGATCAAGTCCCGCATTGGGCTCCCTGCTCCGTGGGAAGTCTGCTTCTCTCTCTCTCCCACTCCCCCTGCTTGTGTTCCCTCTCTCGCTGTGTCTCTCTCTGTCAAATAAATAAATAAAATCTTAAAAAAAAAATGTTTTCTTTGCTATGCAGTTGTTTCACATGTCTAAAAAGGTCTGAAGCTTAACTGTTTCAAAGTTCCCGTAGGCCTGTGTTTGCATGCGGGTGCCTGTGTAGTCAGCGAAATCAGGAAAGTCTGAACGTCCCTGCATCAGAACTTCAAGTCCCTACATCCAAAACTTTTAAGATTCAAAAACTTAAAGCCTGAGAACATGTTCTATTCTTCAAATGTGTAGCCATCTACCTAGTATTTTGTATCACTAGAGAGCAGAAGAGCTCGACTGGAGAAGGTGAGGGACAAGTCATTATGTTTTATGGACTCTTTTCTGTAGTGCATTTTGAGCTCTAAAAAATGTGATGGACATAATCTTTGTTGGGATCCTGGCATCCTGTGATACAAGTATCGGGAATGAAAAGAAAGAATGCTCAATTCGTGCCTTTATTGTCCTGCCACACACTTCCTCCAACCATATGTCATTAATATAGCTAATGGGATTTTGGCACCAAACCAACTGGAAAGGGATGTGGTGAAAGTGGGGGTAGACGGAAGTGGATGACATGAGCAAGGAAAGCACTCACCGGGTCTCTGTTTAAGCAGTGGCAGCTCCATCAGCCTTCCCTTCGGTCCTCCCTGACAGGGCGGGGGCCCTTCTATACATGACTGTGTCCCATGCATTCATGGGCCACTCTGACACGGCCGCCCCTTTTGTTCAGATCTGAAAATGCAGCCCATTGCTTTCCTTCTCTCAGCTGCCATATGGCTTTGTGGAAATTGGCCTAAAAGGAAGCGGGGCGGGTGGGGGAAGCCCTAGAAATAAAACAACCAACAGATGAAATTGATTTATTTTCAGCATTAAGGGATGGGGATGGAGGCCTTTCAGAAACATAAAACCTTGCACTGAGCAGGCAAACAGTCTGCTCATATGACAGCATTTGTATACATTTAAAAAAAAATAACATGTGGCAGAAAATAGAAGCCCCATTGTTTTATTTAACTACTGTATCCAATTTGAATGAAATGGAATTTTCAAGCTTAAGTAAACTGACTGCCCAGTTTGCCAGTGTATTTCAGTTTCAGTCGGACAAAATACTTCAGAACTTTAAAATATGTATTGAACATCAGCCTTCTAGAAGTTTATCTTACTCTAAAACTTTCTGCAAATAATGCTAGGCTGTAAATCACTTTATATTAGTTCTCCTGCTTTAAGCTTCTCAATTTAGGCAGTTACAACACTCTTCTCAATTGCTTTAAAAGCCTAGTTAAATACGTCTAAAGGGTGGGTTTGAAAATGACAGTTTGTCTTGATGTACAGATGCGACAAGAGTGCTGAAAAAACAAACTAATGAAGGAAATATATTTAAAAAGACAATTATGCCTCTGAACAAATTTGTCATATTGAAATATTTGAATTTTAAGAACAAGAACATTTCTGAGTTCAACAGTATTATTCTATAAGACTGTACCTTTTTCATTTGGACATTTAGAACAGTAAATAAGGTGAGCGCAATTGACACAGGTATGTAGAAGTCAAAATTAGTTTATTGGTATCTATAACCTTATTTTCTCAGTTTGGTGCTCAAGTGTACATTGCCAAAATGCACATGTTGTTTTCTGTGAGTTTCCTATATTTATTTAATAGCTCTAAGCCCTGGGTTACCTCTTGTTGGCTTTTGAACTTTTATTTTAAACCTAGGTTGGAATGTATCAGAATCAACTGCATGCATGGGAGAAAGTAGGCTGTGCACTAGGAGGCCTCTTAGTTTATTCAAGACAAAACAAAATTAGTAAGATGCCTACATTCGAGTGGTGTACATGACATTGGGGAAGAGTTGTAAGTTTAGCTCCATCACTAATACATTGTTTGACTTTGGTGATTCATTTAATGTTGTCTAACTTTGGGTTTTGTGTGTGTGTGTGTGTGTGTGTCGGAATTTTCCAGAATTTTTTTTAAGAAACGTGCCTGTATTTAAAAGAAATCTTGCTACAGGGTGCCTGGGTGGCTCAGTCGGTTAAGCGACTGCCTTCGGCTCAGGTCATGATCCTGGAGTCCCAGGATCGAGTCCCGCATCGGGCTCCCTGCTCAGCGGGGAGTCTGCTTCTCCCTCTGGCCCTACCCCTCTCATGTACTCGCTCTCTCTCATTCTCTCTGTCTCAAATAAATAAATAAAATCTTAAAAAAAAAAAAAATCTTGCTACAAAGCTCAACATTTAAATAGATAAAATTAGTGCTGCTCTGGGAATCTTTAGATGTCTAAAGGAAGTTGCTTCAAGAGATTCTGCACTTCTCCTCTTTTGGGTCATCCACTGGCAACCTCTTTTTGAGAAACGAGTTGTTTGATTTGTAAAAATATTTACCTGTTTAAAATTGAATTATGAGAATATAAATTGAGGGTATAAATCCAACAGGGTATCTTAGTGTTAGCAGGTTTAAAAGAAGAGGTTCAAGTCCCTGCTTGGAACATGGGTCTGTGGGCAAGACATTTTTGAGGATTCCAGCCAGGCAGGCAAATTTTGAGCACCCATGCTTTTTACTAGATTTGAAATATTCAGAGGAGACAGTATTTAAAAATTTTAAATGGCCAAGAGTCCTATTTATATACTAGACACACACATACACAATATTAACATTATGTTAATAGTACTATGTGATGTATATTTTAAGTAACAGATACAACTATAAATATTTAGGGGAAAAATTTATTAAGAAAGGAATCTAAAAGAAAAAAAAGTCTTCTTTGGTTTTTCTGCTGAAAGTCAGATTAATTTTTATTAAGACCACATGGCATTCAGCACTGTGCTTTAGAATTGTGAAACCCAAGAAAGGATTATACCTGAAATAAAACACAGGGGGGCAGAAAGAGTGATTGGTCTCAAACAATATAAATATATTCCAAAGAGTTTTCAGTTTTGAAATGTGCAATTGCTATTAGCAATTCATTGTGACTTTAGTCCCTGTAGCTTCTTCTCTGTGGTTCACATTCTGCAGCTGTACTAAAGAATCTGTGTGTTCCCCTGAATCATAAAGAATTCGTTTCTTTAGCCGAAATCTGGGAAGCATATGGTCTTGTGCAGATGTGCGCATGTGTAATGCTTTCTTGTCTCAGAGTTCAGACAATGGCATGTGGCTCATGGCTCACTTTGTGTCTGTCCAGTTTCTGCTCCACATGTTTTCCAACTCAGAGGAAATAGAAATGGAGCTGCTTCTCACCTCATTACTTGTTCTATACAGAATGTACTCTAACAGTTTGATGGTTTCTATGGTCCCAACAGGAGTCAGAAAAATCTTAATTTGTATGATGTTTGAGCCGTTAAGATTTTTCTGCCTCATTTTCAACTGTGACAAGAAGATGTAAAGAAGGAAACAGGCATCTCAGCAGCTAAGGTTTGACACTTACACTAGTCGGAATTCTCTCCTTGTCATTAAGAGTTTTGTCCGGAGTTTTGAAAATCTACTTCCATTTCTTAGTGATATAAACTTTCTGGTTTATTTCTTTTACTGTGATTTCATCTGAATATTACTAAAACTCTGTCTGTATTGGAACCATTTTGATTGTAACGACTTCTAAGTGAAAACCTGCAATTACCATATGAGGAAAAGATAAAAAAAAGTTTTAGTAAAATATGTAATTGTGAATATCTCACTTTTGAATTTACACCTTATCTGGTAGCCATTCTGAAATGGTTAAATGTTGTTATAGTCATGACATTTTCAGAAAATCTCTTTATGTATCTAAATTCTTTGTTTCAAGTCTAGGATTTTTTCCTCCCTCACCACAAATTTAAATGTACATTAGAAGAGATGAGATGACCTTATGGGACATGACTACTTGAGATGATAAATCTGGTGTTTACCAGAACATTCTTGAAAGCATCCTTCATATCTCTTTAAAAAGAGTTTTATAGAAAGTTGTTTTGAAGCACGTGGTTTGATGGATTTCAAGGCTGCTTCGGCAGTTTGAGTCCAAGAGTTTTCTGGCTGCCTCCATATTAAAATTTAAAGTATTTCATAGTCGGGAAGCAGAGCCTCAACAGGGATTTGGAGTAATACGAGTTGCTTTAAAGGACACACTAGACATTGAGTGTCATTTTAAAACTAGAAATTTATCTTTGGTGATCTAAGTTATTTTCATTTCCACTGTTTTAGGCACTTGGTATTGCTTGCCTTGTTATGAATCTTTTCCAGAATCTATGAGAACAAGGAAAGAATTTTTAAACAAATGAACAAATGAAAAATACATGCACTAGGAGTCACTCTCAATTTCTTATAGCTCATCACTCTTTGGGAATATTTGTGTATTTTTTGGGGGGGGATATTTGTGTATTAACAGAGAGACACATTTGTAGAACAAGTGTTTAGCTTAGAGAAGTCACATTTGGCCATGCAAAATTTATGGTGTCATGTAAATAGGAATAATATTTGGAAGCAAGAGGCAGGTGTTCTTCCAGAATTATATGGAAGATATGAGATCCACAACTAAGTTCCAACTAGGTCTGAAAAGGTCACATACAACTGAGGTTTATTTTATGGTCAGAACTCTTGCTTCCACTCATATCTGTGGGATAAAAAATAATCAGACAGGTACACGTCCCATTGTCATGAACTACTTAATGACCATATAAATTTGAGCAACAAAACCCTTTCTAATCCTAAAGTTCCACATCTATATAATGGGGCTATTTACATCTACCTGTGGGGCTATAATAACGATTTGAAATAATTTCATAAATTACAAAATACTTCATCAGGAATATATTAGGCACTCACTAAATGATAAAATATAATAGATATAAAACATGTTCTATTTGTGTGTGAAACTATAATATGCCAGGCATTGTGCTAAATGTTAAACCCACAGGAACTTATTTAATATTTTCAACAATCTTCTGAGGCAGACTCAATCATTATCCTGATTTTAAATATCAAGAATTTAAGGCTTAGAGATATTAATTTGTCCATGATCTCTTAGTTAATACTAACTATGGGAGTGAGTGTAATACCAGAATATTCTGACACAACAGTTCTTAACCCCTTAGGACAAATGGTTTCCATTTTGACATCTATCCCTTGCCACTAACTATAGAATTTATTTCCATGTAAGCATTAGTCTGCTTTTGTAATGATGTTTAAGGATACACCCTACAAACTTACACCTGTTCATTCTAGATCAGATGTGTAGTTATTATTACTCTACTTACCAGATTGCAGGTGCCCATTTTGCATTTCAATATCTAAGTCTGCCAACTGATGTGGAATGACCTACACTGCTTACTTCTGCAATATAGCGTTCTAGCCCACCGAAAATCTAAATTTAAACGTTGATGATTTTCTCTTCTTTGGGAAAACATAAATCTGGAAGAAAGAAAATTCCAAAATAAAGGGATTGAATCACTGGAACATGTTGCTTTATGCCAGATGATGGCAGAATGATGTTGGACAAATTGTTAAAATATTTTAGTATAAAGACCTTTTTTTGAAGGTCTTTCTGAAGACCTAAGGTTTTTACTGGGATTGTCTGAATACTTCCTTAAACATTTAAGTCTAGACAAGCAGCATTAAGGACAGAGATTCCCTCAACCGTGAAGCGGGTGAACCCAACAAAGTCAGAGCAACCATGCAGCCTAAGATTTCTCTGGCCATTTGATCACACCAACTGCTCTATTAAAAATACTTTGAAAGTGTTCTTCTTCTAACCTCCTGGGATATTTCTGATTTCATCTCTGGATATTTCTTGGCATAGAAATCTTGGACTACAATTTGTCTTTGTACTGGCAGGAGGACACTAACTCATGATCCCCAGTTTGGATAATAGAGGATTATTGGCAAGAAGATTTCTATGGTTGGTCTTTAAAAGCTTTTTCTTTTCCTGTTTCATCAGTCCCTTGATTGTTCATCTATAAGTCATAAGATAATATTTTCTCCCTCTCCTTTTGACCTAATCAAGTATTGGATTTTATTTGAATAAATTATTTGTATTCATGTCTGAAAGAAGCATAACAATTTTTATCCCTAATACATAGGCCTTGTGTAGTATGCCACAAAATAACAGTATGGAAATAATTTAATTTTTCACCTTTTAACATGCCTGTTATGACTCAGAAGGCCACATGAGGTTTTATATTTTGTTCATCTTGTTATGAAGAAAATTCCATGAACAACTTTTTTTTTTCTTTTTAGATTCTGGACAGATTATCTTGAGCCTAATATTTCCTCCGGATACTAGCACTTTTGCCATTTCTTTCAAAACAACTCTTAACTTGGAAAGTCAAAGTTTTAATTTCTACCAAATGTAAAATTTTATTCTGACATTTATCTTGCTGACTTCTGAAATTACAAAGCATAAAAATGCAAGATGAAGCAAATTCTATGAAGATAATGTGTGGTATAAAAGTCAATAAATTTTTATTAATGGTTTCTTAAAAGATATAATTAATAATCTATATTTTGTTGTCTATTTATTTGCAACCAAGATTAAAAATATATTGCAAAATTTATTATTTAGTTTCCATAATTGATAAAGATTTGAAGGGAAAAAGAAGAATCATATATAATGTCTTTCTTTTTTTCATAATATGGACACAACAATGCTACTCAGTTTGTTTATATTATCAGCATATTAAGTAAAGATATATTTCAAAATATAACCTAATTTATACATGAAACATCATTGTATAAATGAAAAAGATACTTTGGGTAATCAGCTGAATATTTAGACTCATTTTTTTTATGTGTTTTATCTTTTGTTTGTATGTTTGCTTTGGTTGGGTGGGTTTTTGTCTTTAATTTTTCCAGCTTTCCAGTTTTCTTCATATCAGAATATAGTTCTTCTATCATCCAACTGACCTGGTTAATATAGTATTTTACAATTTGTAATTAAATAGGTCAATTCCTGAGTAGAGGCACAGCAATTAATTGAGAATTGTATCACTTTTATATTCTTAGAGTATTAGTCTGCCTTACGGTTTTCTGTAGATAGGCTAAGAAATTTGTTGGTTTTCAGCAGAATATTAAGAATTTCTGGACATTGGATGAATACTACCTAAGTAGGTATTAAGTGATAAAGTCATAAAGGATAATAAATTCCTGAAAAAAGCAAATAAAATATTGACTTTTTTTAGAAATTTTCTCAAAATTGTAATTGGACAATAGATATCAACCATCATGTTGATACAAAACAACAGTTCTAAAATATTCACTATATGCAATTTTGAGTACATCTTTTCTTTTAATAATATGCTCACATGATTTGAATTGAAGATGGATTAATTTATAAGTAAATACTTTATATGATGATAATAGGTCATATTCCATAATTGTTTTGTGTCATTGTCATTTGGTAAATTCTGTTTCTTTCAGATTTTGTTAACATAATCTTGAAACCTCTATTTTCTTACACATAAGTCACATAGTCTCTAACAAATAGTTATCACTTTAAAGAAGAAAGTGAATCAACCCTCACTTTACATTTTTCCTTGACAATATTAATAAGCTTCTTGTAGCATGGAAATCTAGTTTATAGAAATGTAGAGGAAACCAAATATCATAAAAAGTATTTTCATGTTTCTTCCTTGAATTGTTGTCATAGATGTACTAGGAGACTCAACTAAAGAAAAACAAATAAACCACAATTATTTTATTTTACAAAAGTGAGTGTTACAAATATCAAAAACTAATGATGTAATGTATGGTGATTAACATAACATAATACAATAAAAAATAAAGAAAAATATCTAGAAGATAAATGAAACATATTTTGTAGTTCTATAATTAAAAATATATAAGCTACATTAATAACATTTATTTTGCTTTCATTAGTGAAAGCAAGAAAATTATACTCTTCACTGATTAAGGATGCATATCTAGGGATAATCTAATTTTGGAAAATTTTGGAGTAAATAGTAGACTCAGGCAAAGCTGGAACTGATAAATTCAAACTATATATACTGTACATTATAGAACGACCTAAGAGTATGATACACAAATCATTCACAGACATTTTGATAGAACTTTACTTGAAAATCACTTGGAGACTCATTTAGTTCTTATGTCACCTTACTTATGCAGACTGGACAGCAAATAATGATATTTTGGGTTACATCTGGAGAAAAGAGTTACAAGCCATTGAACATCAAAAGGAAGGAATACTTGATTGCATAAAAGGAGAAGGTGTGGGAAAATATTAAGGAATAAAAATTTCAGATTTATAATCAGGAAAACTGAAACCTCTAGACCTGCCGGTTCACCGTCACCAGTGATAAAGTCATTGCACAGCTGCTGTGAGAATGGGGTCGTAGCTCCCTGCTCCTGCCTCATCCACCTTACTACCCCCAGTCCCTATACCCTGGCCAATGGCTAACTAAAATGCTTTAACTGAATTGATATATAACTTTATTCAGAAGTAATGGTTTCCTCATTACTCTGTAAATACTTTAGCTCATCGTGGCTTAGGTATCAGTAAGATACAAGCAGAGTCCCTAGATTTCTCAAACCCTCTTGTTTTTTTTTTTTAATAAATGTGATTTAAATCATCTGAAAGATGTAAAGGATTAATGGATTAATTAGCCTAAGTATAATCTAAAGAATAGATTTCCCAACTCAGAATTATGAGAATCTAATGAGAAAGCAAGGAAGATGCTTATATAACAAAATTTCCTTCTGTCCTTCCTTTGTTAGAAGCATTTACATATGCAAGGGCCTCATTTCCACTTTTAACAAATTTCTTGCTATAGATATGTGTGTGTTGACTATTTATGTCGAATATATATATTACATATAGGCAATATTTACATGCAACAATATATATTACATATATATTACATATATATTGTTGCATATTATATATAATATATATTGTTGCATTCGTTTAGTGTGTGTGTGTGTGTGTGTGTGTGTGTGTGTGTGTGTGGGTATTCTTGCCAGCAGCTCTTACCTAATAATTAAGTCTTGTCTGACCTTCTGAATGTAGAGGTGGGGATGGTACAATCGGAAGAAAATAAAGAATGCTAACCAGGTTCCTACAGAGATTTCAAGTCTTTTGAGAGCAGCTTTATTATATTCATAAACTATTTTTATTCCTATAATTAAGATTTAGAACTAAGATATTTAAGTATAGAGAACACTTTTGTTGGTTAAGTTTAAGCACTATAAAAAATTATTCAAGTTGTGGGCGCCTGGGTGGCTCAGATGGTTAAGCGTCTGCCTTCGGCTCAGGTCATGATCCCAGGGTCCTGGGATCGAGTCCCGCATCGGGCTCTCTGCTCCTTGGGAGCCTGTTTCTCCCTCTGCTTCTCTCTCTCTCTGTCTCTCGTGAATAAATAAATAAAATCTTAAAAAAAAAAAAAATTATTCAAGTTGTGAATGAACCACCACTGAAACAGAGTGTACTTGAACTGCATTCCATCGCTGTAGCAGCAATCTCTTGCCCCACTCATGTTACATCACAACCGCTGAACTTCAGTGACATACGACAATATATCAATAAATACCTGTGCTCATCGTTGTATTGGCTACCTGGGATTGGAGGGTCTCACTCCTGTCTTTAGTCAGCTGCTCATCAGCTACACCTTGGCTTTGTTCATCTTGGCTGAGTCTTCTGTCATGTCTAAGCCTTAACTGGTACAACAAACGGGGCCTACTGGGCTCTGCTCCTTGTTCCAATAATGAAGGCAAGGATCAAGAAAAAGGAAATGGAAGTGCCCATCTCTGATCACATTGCATGTGTACCCATTCTACTAGCTAAAGCAATCAGGTGCCCAAACCCAGAGTCTGTGTGGAAGGGCATCACCAAACAATGCAGTCAACCTCCTACAACAGGCAATAGCTCAGCTTGAATTCTTTTTTTTTTTTTTAAGATTTTATTTATTTATTTGACAGAGAGAGAGAGACAGAGAGAGAGCACAAGCAAGGGAGCAGCAGAAGGAGAGGGAGGAGCAGGCTCCCCGCTGAGCAGGGAGCCCAATGTGGGGCTCCATCCCAGGACCCCGGGATCATGACCCGAGCCGAAGGCAGATGCTTAATGACTGAGCCACCCAGGTGCCCCGGCTCAGCTTGAATTCTTACCTACATTTTCCCTCACCACTGCTTTCACTTTCATGGTTAATGGTGAGCTTAAAAGAAACAGAGAGAAATTTTCTGGGATTTGAAGGAAGAGATATGGCCAAATATTAAATCCATAGTCTGGGAATATGACATTATCACAGGATCTTTCACTTCTTAGGAGGCAAGTTCCCCAGTACAGTATTTCTAGGAAGGGTGCAAATTTTTACCAAGGCTCAGAAAAAAAATCATGATGTGGATAAATTTCTTTCAGTTCAATTCAATTCAGTTCAATTCAATTCAATTCATTCAAAGTG